AAAGCTCTCTTATTGTATTCATTTGCCAGCAGTAATCACTAAATTCAAAAATAGCAAATCTTCAAACGTTTCCACAGGTACCTTGGTACAGATGTAGATTTTTCCCTTTACAACTGAGTAAACTTCGGGGCAAGGTGGGAGAGAAAGAGACACAGCTGCTGAAGTATTGAGAAACAAATGCTGTGAAATAATGAGTCAAGCTCTTAAATACCTCAACATTTAAACACCCTCACCAACACCAAAAAAAAAAAAGAAAAGCCACCAAAAAACCCCATAGGGCAAAAAATCCAGACCACAGAACTTTTCAGAACTTGGTATTTGCAGTGCCATCTTACACCCCAAAAGCCACCATGAGCTTTTGACACTACTCTCAGGCACATGGATCAAGAGCACTGTGCCCCTTGAAATTTTTTAAGTATCAACTGCCCACGACTGGCCCCAGTCAAGTCTACCAAAACCAGGCTCCTGCTCACCCCAAACCAAAATCACACAGAGGGTATAGAGCTCATGAAGCCTCCTTCATGAAGCCTCCTTGTCTAAGCCAGGGGAGCCACTACTGTGGATGCTGTCTCCTTTGCAGTCAGAAGGACGCAGTACAGTTTCCAAGACTGGAGCACTTGGAGAAGAGCAAAACCAACTCTGCTTCCCTTTAAAGGACATATTCTGCACATCAGTGAAAGTCAACACTATCCATCATTGCAACTTTTTTTTTGTAGGCTTTTTGTCTGAAGATTCTCCATGTAGACTGGAAGGAAGCTGTTAAGGTGCACAGACTGCATCCCCATCTGACATCCCAGACTTCTATTCCACACAGTAAGTTGTGATCCCTGTAATTTCTGTGCTTACTGTCAGACGCCAGACACCTCTTAGACAGCACACACCAAAACAGAGCATCCCATGTTCTTTTCAAAAGCTTTCATCGACTTTGCAGTTTGTGTCTTTTGGTGTGAGTAAAGTGGCCTGCAGACTCTGACCTCAATATATGCAGAAGAGATATACTTTTATATATCATCAAGCGAGCTTTAAATCTGAAACTATGTAAGAAAACAAGCCTTGGCCTGCAATAAAATTTATTCAAGTTAGTTATTATTTTCAAGATGTTTGTTTTCTAAATACATTTTATATTCACAAATCAGTATTCATTTATTAACTACAAAAGTAGTAGCATTTTACTATTTGTAGGAACCTTAATTTGTCAATCATTTCTTCACAAGATACTGTGTCAATGAAATTCATTGACAAGAAATCTCATAACTGGTGAATAGTTTCATGGTGGAAATTTCAACTGTTAATTGCCTCCATCCTGCTTTCAGAGCACATCCCTCAAAGTCACATGTCTCTTTTGTCAGGCCTACAAAATACATGCACATTTGTGTAATTATTTTGATTACACACTCTGGAAACAGGAATGCTTAGAGATGCCTTGCCAATTGTTCTAAAGAGGGAAACCATATGGGACCCATAATTTTATTTAATTTTGATGTCAATGGGTATTGCAAGATACTATGAAAATGAATTATTACAGTTCCACCTAAAGATTATTTTCAATATTTTACCGAATTATTTTTTATATAACAAAATTGTATCTGGATTAAGAAGCAAAAAAAGCTGCATAAAGTTTTGAAAATACGGGTGGTAATAGTTATTGTCCTCAATATTTGTGAGGTAATTAAGAACAGCATCAACTTACTCAGCCATAAAAACCAATGTATTTCTTTAGGAATGTGAAATTTTAATCTGTATCGCCATTTATTCTGCAACAATAAAGTTTTAGAAAAATATCTACTTCTAAATGTGGTTCAACATCTCAATCTGATATATTTTAGAATGGAATACTGCTACCTTTTAGAAATTCTTACATCTTTCAAAAATTACAACAATCTCTCAGCCCAGGCTTTTTAGTTTGATGTTTCTAAGGGGTTGTTTTTCTTGTGTTTTTTTCTTGCTTTGTTGCATGCTTTTAATTGTGACCATCAATTGCCTTTTTCAGATTCAGCATTTCATCAGACCTAATAGCTAAATATCACAGTAATCAAAATATTTGGGTGGACAACATGAGTAAATACTATCAATAAGCAGTCGCAGTCTCCTGTTTGTAGCAACACAATGACAATCTTTCCCTGGTACCTCCCTTATTTTTCTTGTTGTTGGCACTGAGAAACATAGAAATGGCATCAAGACAAGACATATAGAGAGAAAGCTATCAGAAGTTGAGAGCATTTTCCACCCAAACACAAACACATTCTGTTTAAACTAATACAAAATCAGCATAGAATCTGCTAGATTTCAGTCCTGCTTCAAAAAATAAGCCATACCATTTTTGTAAGACAAAAACTAAATTAACTTTCAAATGCATCCCCAACATCCTTATGTAAACAAGTGACAAAAAGCTTTCATTCTCACAATTGTGCTATTTGCAAAGTCTAAGTGGGAAAAAATACAGTACATAAGCAGGAAAAGAATGTTAGAGATCCTTGCCAGACCCCACTGTCTCCAACAGATTCTGAATCAAGACCAGAATGAACAGCACCATCAAGAGGGAAAAGGTCTGTCATGGGGCTCACCCAGCCAAAATGGCTTGAGATAGGGTGTCTAGAAGGAATGCAAAAACATTAGCACTGAAGCTATTTATCAGAAGTACTTTAAAAGAATCCCTGCTGAATAGAAGTCTTGAACACATTTTCTGTGGAGAAATTTTCATTGCTCATAGCACACTGCCTGAAGAAACTCCTGTTCTGCATTTTAGGACAGTGTTACCTTGTGGGCTACCATGAGGGCTTGTTAAGACATATCCACAAAGAGAGCTTGAGCAATTATATGGTAATTTAAACACATCAGCTTCTTGACAATTCCTGCTTTTTCTGTAAAACCACAGGGAAGCCAAGGAAAGGAGCTTTACCTGTCACCAACACCTTAAAGCAGCCAGCCTGCCTAAACAACTTCCATTGTGTGCTACCCTACACAATGAAGCATCCACCAAGTAACTTGTGTTGGAATAAAGAGAAAAAAGCCCAACAGCTAAACAACCTAACAAGCAAGTAAGCCATGAACACAATCTAGACTTTAAAAGAAAGGTTGTTTTCCTACATGCTCCTACGGACCCTTTTGCTGGTTGCAACACCTTCTGCAGGGCCAACCTCATTACCTGGACAGATGCTCATCCTGGTTCTTCCAAAATCAGCCCCCATATAAAAACAATCTGATTTTCCTGAGCCCCACAGCTATTCTCAAGGGTGCAAATGGCAGCAGATAAAGTTGTGGAGATCGGAAAGCCATCCAATCCCCACCTATGTTTTAGTTAGCCCCCTGTGGTACAAGGCGTTTCTCCTTCACTAGATAGAAGTTTCCATTCTGCTGGAGTGGACAGCAACTACCAAAAGCCTCTTTTCACTATATTCAGTAACAGAACAGCATTCATCTGAAATTGCATGAGTGCAGATGTTTCTCATACAGGTTATTTAAAGATACCCATTATAAACTTCCAGCATCTGCCACCATTCTTTTCTTTACTTTTGAAGAAAAACCCTTCACGTTTTCGACTATACTAATCCAGCCTTTGACAGAGAAAACAAATACCTAGAGCCTCTCAAACCAATCAAAATTTTTGAGACTTTTCTTTCTGCTTGTTTTGATTTATTTATAAGTCTCATTTCAAAAGTGTTTAAAAAGAAAATCTTCATCATTTTTCCCTGGATGAACAAGGACTTTTGGCAAAAAGATGCTGCAAACAGCCAGACTACAAGACATTCTGGCCACTTTGAGTCGGGGTTTCCACAGCTAAGGTTATAAAATTTTCAAAATGCCATGACTATCCAGCTACTAAATCCTTCACTCAGAGTTCAGCAAGCTTCAGTGACCCTGATGAGCACTGATGCAGCTTTGGCATGGCAGAAAGGCAGGTCCTAAAGTAGCCTAATCTCAGAAAATTAAAAGCTTTGAAGATTAAGAACAGGACCTTGAAATGACCCAGACAGAGAAAGAGAGAGACTCCAGCCAGTCCTTCCCAGACAGCAAGCTGCTGTTAAACTCCCAAGGTCTGCAGCCAGAAGCTCCAGCTCAGGAGCACTACAGCTCAGTGTTTTGGTCTCAGAACTGCAAGGCCCAAAAATGGAGTTTAATTTGGTAGAAATACAGGACAATGAAAGACATTACTGACTGCATCTGCTACACTATGTCTAGAATATTTTCTGAATAACATCACATAAGCTGCATTTACCATGAAGTAACAATGTTAAGTCCTACAGAGAAGTTTATCCCACATGCTTCCCAAAGTTCTGGTGCGTCTTGTTTATCTTTTCTTCTCTCACAAAACATGGACAAAAATGAAATGCAGAAACCTATCTGAATCCTCACCAGTACAAAACTTCAAGCAGCAGCAGCAGTTCCATGTTTTTTGTTTTGTTGGGTTTTTTCCCCCAGGATAGCCACCACAGAGAAAATTATAATTGTGTTTCAAAAACAACCCGTATCATTGACTTCACATGGCCAAAAGAAGCATAAAAATAAAACACGGTGAACAATAGCTTTATATTTCAAGAGCAAAGTCTGGCAGGAAAAGCATCAAGTGGTCACTCACTTGCCAAGTTGCTTGGCAGTGCCAAATTGCTTCTGCGAAGTGTTAAAAGTAGCGAAAGCAAAATTACCAGAATTATCACAGAGACACCAATGGAAGGGGAAAAAATGTGACAAATTGAAAAAATATTGCTAAAAAAAAATCTTTAAATTACTTGCTTTCAACTCATTATAAAGTTAGTTGGAAATATGAACTTGTTGTTCTTTGCAGAGACAAGTCAAGATACTCATGTCCATAGGTTTCTTTACAGTATGTCATATTTTAGAGAAACTATAACAGTGAATGTAGAGAGAGGTCATAAAATTCTTAATCATACAAAGGGACAGGCATACAAGGGTAAGATTTTTCTTTTCTCTTCCTATGCTGACCTGAACATATGAAGTTAACCACAAGCCTATTTATAAAAATTTAGTAAACCTTTACTTACCCAGCATCCTCCTGGAAGCCTTCTAGTTCATCTCGTTGTTCTGCTAGGGTGGACTCTAGATCCAGATAGGTACCATTATGAGACAATTGAAGAGTGCAGTCATCAAGCTGTAGAACAAAATTCAGACCATTAGATTAGAACAGTAGTTCTCTCTAACATACCTCTAACATTGCCTTCCCATTTTCTAGGTCCCCAGACAAGATCTCCCTAAAGCAAACAATATATTGGGAGCAGGTATGAAAAATTTTTTGGCAATTTATTCAATTCCAAACCAATGTTCCCCAGACCATGCTTGCTCACAACAGTATCAACACAACTAACAAACACAGTGAAATTTATTAGAACACACAGAAGAAGATCAGAGGGCTTTAGCACAGAGCCTTTGAAATGTAATACAGAAAGAGAAGTTAATTTCAGTGTGTATCTAGGATATAAACTACTGTTCTCTGTTCTTACAGAGTTGTAAGTAGAGTTTCTGAGTCTCTGGATGAAGACAGAAGGAAGAAATACCTTTTTTGTTAGCCACTGAATGGCCCCTTTGAGGACAGATGTAGCCAAGGGACAGTGCAGAATGTGTCAGCCAAGAGTTGGGGTCCTGCAGTGAGAGCGAGTCAGTCAACCAAGTCACAGATTTTTCTGGCATTCTGCTTTTAGGATCAGGCACTAACCAGCCTCAGAGGCTGCAGGAACAACATGCCTAGGCACTGGGTGGGAGGAGAACTGGAAACCTGCGCCAGCTTCCTACAAAGATACTGAGGTAATCAAGGACCAGACCTGAAAGCAGAAATCTGCCCACAATGATGCTTAAGAGGGAGGGAGGAAGAAATTAATAAACTGTCTTTATTTCTTTTCTGTCTTCCCTAATCTTCACGTTTTCCATTAATTGTTGCAGCTGTTGTTAAAAAGAGACAGATTCGAATAATGTTAGAAAATAAATTTTCTGGATATTATTTTCAGGGTTCTCATCACGATAGAAGATCTAGGATGAATCATCCCAAAACTCTGGTTAACTCATTGATCAGGAACACAAAATAGTTACTGATTGAGAAGGAAAACTAAAGAAGCTGGGAGAAGAACTAGAAAGGAACATGAGCTCCTTTCTTACCATGACATAACTCAGTGTCAAATAACAAATAATAAGGAAAAAATGCCTTCCCAGGGCAGGAGAACAAGACAACATTTACCAAGGGGCAAGTGAATGTAGAGGGTTGTCCTGCCTAACCACTAGAGTTAAGTGACCATCTGCTCAGAGAATCCAGCGCAGAAGGATAAAAATGGACATCTGTGAGTCCAATTTAACACACTGCTGAGACCTTCATGTGCACCATTACACTGGGAGTCCTTCTGTAACTGCTTCCAAGCTCACAAATATTGTAAATTCCAGATGTGTTGTGCTACTAGATACAAAATCCAGTCTGACAGCCAAACAGAACAGAAAAACATTAAGGCTGGAGAAGACCTCTATGATCATAGAGTCTCACTGTTAACCCAGCTGATGTTAACCACAAAAGCATGTTCCTCCATGCCACATCCACGTGTCTTTTGAACACTGCAGGGATGGCAATTCCACCACTTCACTGGAGAGCCTGTTCCAAGACCTGGCCACCCTTTCAGTTAAGAAATTTTTTCTAATATCCAATTGAAACCTCTGCAGGTGGAACTTGAGGCCATTTCCTCTTGTCACAAAATCATAGAATGGTTTGGGTTGGAAGGAACCTTAATCACCTACTTCCAACCCCCTGTGTCATAGTTTTCTTGCTGCACAATGGGTTCCACTTCCTCCTGTTGATTGCCCATGCTGTATGCATATGTGTAGATGCACTGCATTTGGGTGATCAATCCCACTGACTTTTCATGGGAAGAAGCTCCAATTCCTGCATGAGCATTCCCAAGTGCTTCTGCAGTTTCTAGCACATCAATAACTCCTTCTGCTGCATGGATCTCCACCCCCTACCATTAACAAGATGGCAGACCAAAGGACCTCATTAGCACTCTGTCTCTCGAACAGCGGTATGCTGCCTCCAGGTCTCTCTTCAGTGATCGTGATTTTATCCCCTCATCCCTCCAAACATTGTTTAAATCTGTAACTGCACCAAAGGGGAAAGGGCTGCAGCCAAAAGGCTGGGACTGAGTTTTCTGGTTCTGTTGTTAATGCTGTAGTAGTTGTTTATTTATTATATACACTAGTAAAGAACTGTTATTCCTATTCCCATATATTTTTTCCTGAGAGCCCCTTAATTTCCAAAATTATAATAATTCAGAGGGAGGCTCCTGCCTTCCCTATCAGACACCTGTCCTTTAAACCAGCCAATCAAAGAACCCAAAATGAAGATGGTTACATTCCTCTGGATTTTGCAAAAACAAACTGACAGATTCTTTGTGTGCCTCCATCTACCAAAAGGCAACCATGGCAATGGTAGTGTAACCATACATCCCTACTCCAAAGGCCACTTTGAGAAGAGTCAAATTTTTAACACCATACTTCATGCCCATCTTCTGCCACAGGTGGCAGCCAATGACTCTCTGAAGGACTAAGCGGGGCCTGAAACAGCCAGTGACTCAAGGAAAGGAAATTAGCACCCTTTATCTCTTCTGTAGATTTTTCTTTCTGCTCTTTTTAATACTTAGAAAGAAAATCAACTAAAATCTACCCTTGATGAATTACCTCTTTTAACTTCCCATCCAAGCTTTGATTCTCAGTACCCGGTCAGGAAAAGCATAATAAGCAGCCACTCGTCTTATCTGGCAGTCAATACCTATAGTCACTCTGTTGCCTGCCACTGATTTAGATACAAGAAAGAAAGACAAATAGTGTATTCTGGACTGGCTGCGTTGGAATTTCTGTAGAAAGGCTCATTTACAATTAGTGATAGAGTGTGACTTTTGCAATTTGAAAGAAAAGTTCAGTCTCTGGAGAAAGCATAGAGAGAAGAGGTCAAGTTGTATTTCAAATTTGTTCCATTTTTTTTTTTGCTTTTCTTTTTTGGATTTTTCCCTGGTGAAGGAGCAAGCCATTAAATAAGGTGACATAAGATTTTACACTGATTCCTAGGGATTAAAAAAAAAGCAAAGAACCTGCAAGTTCAACCCGCTGATATTAAAAATACAATAGCAGTGCTACTCTGTCTCTTTCCAGTTACAAATGAGATTATTAACCTATACTAATTAAAAATAAACTCTTCAGAGAAGAAGGACTAAATACTACTCTGGGAAACCTTTTCCAAGTAGTTCAGGGTATATAATGAAATGCTAATTTATTCAAAGTAATGCCAAAAGGCAAACTACTAATTAGATAAATGTTGTGCTGTCTCTATGGAGATTAGGAGATTTGCCCACAATTTCCATTTATACTGCATAATTAGAGAAAAGAAGTTGTGCCTTACTAATATCTTGTGACTTTAGTGTACAAAAAGCACTATGGGAACAGGAAGTCCTTCGTGGACAAAATAAATGAGAATAGTACATTGAACCTATGTTCATCTCATTTTCATAGTTTCAGCTGAACATGGTATTCATTCAGGCTTTAAGGCACTGTACATTGCATGCTGCATTTGTTAATAAGAGTTACAGTAATGAGAGGCAATATATTTTATTTCCATTACTTAATTCTGAGTCTTGCCAAAAAGTCGGGCATTTTTTTATTCTTTTTCATGTGTACACACAAAGATGGAGGTGATCAAAATAACACTTTAAAAGTTAAATATTAAGGCAATGAACTCTTAAAATCTTCCTTATATAGGATCACTTTGCTACTCTACCTCCAGCTTCACTTGTACACATATATTATAGGCAGAATATAAAAAGAGAACCCACTTCATGAATTATTTTTAAATAGTAAATTGCCTGCATTTTTTAACACAAAGGATGGCTGATGTTCTTTCATTAGTGCTTATTAGTAACAATTCAGAATGTTGGTCCCTCCACTCTGCTCAGCGTTAATCCCATATTTATCTGCTATACATCACTTCTCCTGTCTCTGGAGACTGTCACAAATAGCTCCATCTAGTTCATTCATTACATGCTTCTCCCACTGATCATAATTCACATTGAAATCCTTATTAAAAAACATCTTCTCTTAGGAAAATCAAGAGGCGGAATTCCTGCAATCTTTTAAAGAATATTTAACTGATCTGTTTTACGTCATCATGAATGAGACTTCTATTCAGCTTTTGAGAAATTATTTTATTTAACCTTTTTATTCATAATTTTCTTTAACCTTTCAGTATTTCTTACTAGTCTCAAAATTCTGATCTGCATTTTGTTGTTATTAAACTGCATAATTCATTTATACTACTGCCAAAAGGTGAAATTCTCTAAGATCTTTTCAAAACTGTTTGTTCTAAAAATCTCTAACCTCTCCCTTCAAATTGTTTATCATTTTTTGCATGACACTTTACTGTATTGCCAAAAAGACCCAAAAGGTTGATACAAATTGAACTCATCCTGTGGGCTTTTCCATGCTTTCCTATAATCACATTGAAAGAATACTACCAGTATAATCAAACCATAAACAGAAATAAGCACCATCAAATGGGACAAAAGTAATGCTACTTCTCTGAGTCCAGCACAGGGTTACTCCATCATTAGTCTTCTGCAAGATTTCAAGGTTTTTTTTATTTTAGTGTAAGCATTAAATGGCATCACAAAGCTATAAAAAAAGCTATGTGCTCATTTCAATTGCATTCTCATGCTTGCAAATGAACAGTTTATTTGGAAAACATCCATGGTATATTTTTGAATCCCTATGGAAATTTTTGAAATCTCTATGAAGAGTGGGACTACCTAAGAGCAGTCTCATTCACCCAAGTGAAGAAACAAAAAAACGTGCAACAGTCAACAAATTTTTCTCTCATTTCAAGCACTGACCTACAGAAAGAGGTAACAGCCATTTTTCTTCATAAGGAAGCCCTTATTGCCATGCAATAGGAAAGCACCTTTTTTTTTTTTTTTTTAATTTCACAGTTGAAGTACATCACCAAAGGGAACAAAGAATAGCAGGGGAAAAAAGAAGAGCAAGAAGAAGAGATGTTGATCAGCCAGTTACCTGGTGCTGATAAATGACTTCTGCCACTTTCAGAAACTAGTTAAGTAGCAGAAATTAAAGTAA